TTGGTTTTTCTCTGGCGTGTCGACCATTTCTCGGCGGCGTCCCTCTTGGCAGGGTCCATCTTGAGGTGGCCCTTTCCCACGATGAAGCCTAGGAACTCCACCTCCGTCTGGAACAGGTGACACTTGCTCCCCTTGCAGTACAGTCGATGGTCGCGGAGCTTCTGCAATACCTGACGGAGGTGCTGCTCATGGTCTTTCTCATTCTTGGAGTAGATGACGAGGTCGTCGATGTAGGGTGCCATGAACTTGTCCATTTCCTGCTTGAAGACGTTGTTGACGAGGCGTTGGAAGGTCGGGGGTGCGTTGGTCAAGCCAAAGGGCAGCACAAGGAATCGGAAGGTGCCGTAGCGAGTGCGAAAGGTCGTCTTGTCCTCGTCCCCGGCGCGGATGCGCACCTGATGATAACCGGCGCGCATGTCGAGAGTTGAGAAGATGCGGGCGTCGCAGAGACTGTCGATGATGTCATCGATGAGGGGAAGAGGGTACGAGTCCTTGACTGTCTGGGCATTCAGCTGTCGGTAGTCGATGCACATCCTTCGGGTCCCATCCTTCTTCTTGACGAAGAGGATGGGGGCGCCGTAAGGACTTGTGCTGGCCTCAATGAGGCCTTTGGCGAGGAGTTCGTCGAGTTGGGTGCGTAGTTCCTTCAATTCGTCCGTTGACAGGCGGTAGGGTGCCTTGGAGGGGGGCGTGGCTCCGGGCTTGAGGTCGATGGCATGGTCGATATCGCGGCGGGGCGGCAGTCCTGGAAGCTCTTCGGGGAACACGTCGGCGAACTCCTCTAATAAGGCGTTGGTGCGTGGGTCCTCACTGGGTGACGGTGTGGTGTCCATGGAGAGCACAAGGACGAAGGCTGCGTCGACTCCTGACCCTCGCAGGTCCTTGGCTATCCGCCTGGCGCTCACGAGGTTGATGGTCGCGTTGTCCGTGGAGGGTGGTTGGTCGCTGAGGTCGGTGTCTTGGGTCTCTTGGGTCTTGGTGTCTTGGTGTCCTTGGGTCTTGGGGGTCTCATCTTGGTCGGTGGTGTCCTGGGGTCCTTGGGTCTTGGGGGTCTCATCTTGGTCGGCGGTGTCTTGGGTCTCTTGGGTCTTGGTGTCTTGGGGTCCTTGGGTCTTGGG